ACCCTGAATCATTCCACATTGTTAAACAAGGATGCAACCACAATTTATCTCCATCGGAATTGCAGTGTGTGGCCTTCCAGACATTTTGGCCTACAGCTCCTTTCATCTGGCATCCTTGGTTAGACCGGTCAGGGCTGATGGAAGTTGTGGTCGCCCTTAATCTAGACATAAGTGCCTGTGTCCTTGAACAATTTCAGTTTAGTCATAGCAGCAGTGAATAAGTCAGTCTTCAATTTAATTCTGCATGGTCTCCAGGACCTTGTGCAAATTATAAGGATTAGCCTCTTGAAGACTGACTGATCTCCCTCAGAGGAAAATGGTATTTTGATTTCACATAATTCCACTGTCAAATGCAATTGCACATCACTAACTCATAAGTGTCTAAACATCCTTGATGTTTCATAGCTGAATCACATAATTATTTCCAGATATTTTCACGCAACTACTTCCAGATGCCCAGGTTGTGGGCAAAGTTCTGTGTGTGCTGAAACAATCGAAGGCCTTCCTCACCCAGCCACCACAGACCTGCTGAGCATGGACTAAGTCATGGCGCAGAAACATGGTGGTCTTTGCTGGTGAGTTGCACTCGTCCTGGAGCACGTACACAACTCTTTCTGCACCAGCACTGCCCCTCCCAGGTTCTCACCACTGCACAAGGCTGTGTGTGATCAGCAAGTCGCCGACTGGCTTTCAAATCGCCCTTCACCTGGCCACCTGTGGCAAGTCCAGATCCCATCCAACCTTGGTAGAGGGATAAATTTCTGACCGCAGGCAATTCTTACGACTAGCCCCAAGGCCTTGCACAAATGCAAGCAGTTGTCTTGAACTGTATCTCTAGCTTCCTCTGTGTATACACACACGTGCACATATAGACACACACACACCAAGAACAGCAATAAGTGCCACAATACCCCAGTTATTAGGATCAACTGCCTGCCATAAAATTGTGAGCTGGCGAAAGACATGGCATGTCATGAGCAGAGCCGGGAGACTAGATGGCCCGGGAGGCCCCTTCTGACTCGCTCTGTTTCTCTGCTTCTAATATGTTAGTTAATGTGTAGGACTTCAGGTGAGCTTGCATGAGAAAGGTGTAATCCAGTCTGCATGAGCACCATAGTCCAATGGATGAAGTATATGCCAACGGCCGTTCTGAATATTCAACTCCTAGCGGTAACCATACTTTGCCATATCATCTGAATCCATGCTGCAGGGATTAAGGGTTAAACAACCTCCGAATAACCCTGCAACAGACTATAACCACGACAACAGATGCGACTTCCAGGAAGCAGGGTTGTTTGGCTTCTGGGACATCCCATGATCTACCGTGACTTTAATAAGCCACAATGGCCTGCAGTCATGTAAAGCCATCCAGCAAGTCCCCAAACAACAAAAGGCCATCAGCTTGTGATTTTCCAGAAGTTCTGTTTCTTATCACAAGTTCAAAATGTTTTCTCTCAAAGGCAACAAACCAGTTTTAAACTCGGAGAGAGCAGGGAAGCCTGGGGACAGGGGAAGGACAGATGATGTCATTCTCTGCTAATCAAAACCTCCTAGCATTTTGACCCCATGTGGGTTTTCATTCTGGCTTGCTTTGTGGATGTCTCTCTTTTGTGATTCATTCCTGCTGGCGTTTGTTACACGGTATTTTTTATTGCTTTTAGGTTCTTTTTTTAGTCGCTGTTGGTAGGCTTTTATGACAGGAGTGTTCTTTACAAATTAGGTGAGATATACAGTTCTAAGATAAATTTAAAAACGAGTTTAATGCTTTAAATGCACATTTAGACAGGAAAAGGTCCTCCAGCTCCCAGCATTTTCCAGCCACTCATACTGGCTAGAAAATTTTAGCATTTCCTGTTCCCTTACAGCAGTGAGTCTACCACAAATGAGTAATAGGGGCACATGTGGCCGGGAGACTTTTGTCCAGATGATTCAAAGGCTGCCTGAACAAGCGAATGCGCGGAAACATGCTTGCACTTTGCTTTTGTCACGGGGTCACATCCTCAGTGGATATCTTCTTGCTAAGACTTCAACAACAGGCTGTGAGGATTTCTACCTGCGGTTTGCCGGTCATCTAAGGGAAGCTTATTAAACCTCATTTTTAAAAAATAATCATGCACTCCTTCAGCTGCCAAGCGTCTGGCATGTCCTCCATTCATCTAAGCATGGCTAAATGCACAGGAGATCAGGAAAAGCTCTCACAAGCACTTTCCACTGAAATCCATTTTTGATTCAGCTGACATAAACCAAGTGTTTACCTTAATCAACTAGGTAAATCAGGTGACAGATTACCAGCCTTGGACTGGAGTTCTAGCTAAGGTGAAAAACCCTACACATTAAAGGCTCAAGCCAAGGAGTCTCCAGTCAGACCCAAGAGGAAGCCGAGATCTATTCATGATATGAGGAAGTAAGTACTGTTGAGTTTGGAGCAGAGAGCTCACCTCCAAGGGGACAAGCAGAAGACAACAGCAAAAATTATCATCTCTCCTAGTAGGTCTGCAAAGATACTAGTTCACCCATCATTGTTTATTTTTCTGTACAGCACAATAGCCACAGCTCTCTGGAAGGTTTGCAACAGTTCAAAAAACAATACAATACAAAGCCAAACGATAAACTAAAAATTGCTAAAACCTCATTGAGGGAAGGCCCATAAAACACCCAGGATGGGTAATCTGCTCAAACCTTTAAATATTCTGCCATCTCTTCAAATGCTTCAACACAGACGGCCATCTTAACCTGGTGCTGAAAAGAAGAAAAGGTTGGCACCAGGTAAGGCTTCACTGGAAGATCCTCTCACCGCTGGGGGGCTTCCACTCAGACCAGGATGGGGAGGGAAAGGAGAAGGTGAGCTGTGTGTACAGGAATACTTATGGCACTGAGCTCCAAAATTTCGTGTGGCCACACTCCGCAGAAGGGGGAAAGAACAGACCAATGATTCTACGTGCTGGAGAATCCACGGGGTGAACCATGTTCCCCAAGCACTACTTTCTGGACACAGCCTTCCATGTAGGAGTGGAACCACTGGAAGGCAGTACTACCACTCCCATCTGCCCCAGGAGGGCACCACAATGGATGGCACTGAAAGCCATCAGGAAGTCCAGCAAAACTAGTCTCTCTCCTGTCTCTCTCCCCCAGCACAGGCCAGTGTACAGGGTGCAGGAAAAACTGTTTCCTGGACAAAACAGGGCCTGAATCCCAACTGAAATGGATCCAGAAAATTAGCCTCATTCAAGAGCCCCTGGAAGTGGATGACCAAGCAACAGGACATTCACTACCAGCCTAAAGATATTAATAAGATCTTCTGGGTCCAGGAAGGATTTCCTCAGGACGAGTCTCAATGCCTCTTCTTTCAGGTGCGATGGAACCGCTCCAGTTGGTTGGTCACAACTGGACTGGTCCCAGTTGGGAACAACCAAAGATCCCAAAGATCCAGTGCAAAAGTGGTTGCACAAACTCATCCAAGCATCATGTCCTCAAGCTGGACCACTGAAACTGACCCAATACAACTGGACCAGCAGGGCTCTCAGTATCTTGCCTGATTCAACTGCTACACCTTGCCAGTCTTACGTCCTACTCACATGTAGCAGCATTGGTAAGACACGTCACCTGAAGAACGGGCCAAACCTTTACCATTTTTCAGCCCAGTTACAAGAAGGAAATCCTGACTCAGTGTAGGCAAATGAGTATTGACACACCTGTTGTAAATACACAGTTGCCCACTTTCGACCTGAAGTGACACTGGAACTCATACACAGTACAATCCTATATGACTCCTCAGAAGAAAATCTCAGTCGGTTCAATGGGATTAGTCCCGGGGAGGTGCATGTAGATTTGCAGCCTTAGCGCTTCAGAGACCCATGGTTGCTGTTTTCATCTATCCAAAAGGAAACATTTGCTGCCTACTTGTAGATCTGTGCAGCCAAAGATCTTTTGCATGCACTTCCCTTCTAAACTCACTCCCTTCACCTCTCATCAACCCAAGAGGAAAGCAAACTGCAAACGGTTACTATTGCAGCCCTTCTCATGCATTTTTTCTCTCCTTTTGTTTACTTTTAGACAACAAATCTGAGGAACAGTTTCTATGTTCCTGAAAGCTGAAACACCACATTGTGAACTTCGGCTGGCCCTGATCAAAAGTATTTTTACTACCGCTGTGAACTCTACTCCTAGCTGGAAATCAGAAACAGAAGGTAAAATGTGCAAGTACTGGAACATAGTGGGTTGCTTAAAATAATATTGCTACTTGAAAAAAATATAAAAAGGCAAGAAGAACAAAACAGGTTGCTTTGCTTTCAAATAGTTTAGTCTAAAATACACATAAGAAAAATCTCAATGATTAGCATGCGCTGTATAATGTATAGAAGCCAAACCATTCAATTTATTAATAAAGGCAGAATTTCTGGTTATGCTTAAGAAGGGACTCTGCAATTACTTCACCATAAGTACACCTCTGCTCAGGCTTACTTATTAGCAGCTGCAATCCGAATTGCACTTTGCAATGCCAGTCATATAAATGCATAACCCTAAATGCATTCTAGCCTAGAAATGCCCAATTCACATTCCTAGAATAACAATTTATCTCATTGGAGATGATCCAGACGCAAGGTTCCTTGTGGAAAACCCGAGCACCTGCATGCACAGGGCCAAGTAATATTCTCCGCAAGGGGGTCCTCTCACTTGCCTAATTCTGTTTTCTAGACAAGCAACAAAAGTTCTTCCCAGCCTGTTAGGGTTACTCTTACTGTATCTATGCATTTCATCTGGGAGAAGGGAGTTAGTCACATTGAAGTCTTGCTCTAGCACACACATCTTTCAAACAAATGGATGGATGACTCTATTTAAATACATTAAAAAGCAGGGTAGTAGTTGATGGGCTCCTTTCCCAAAAAAAGGCAAGTTGATGCCCATTACAGCAGCTGCCCTGAAACCTTGAGAGAGAGATGTTGTTTTCCACGGCAAAGGGGTCCAGGCCTAGGGGGTCACTGCCAGACCAGAACCCTTACCTGCATGACGGTCACTACGTGGCACGGGTTCAGCAGGTAGATGACAGTCCTGGAAGCAAACTTGAATCCGACCTCCAATCCAAAAACGAGGCAGAAGGACACCAGCAACAAGTTCTTCCCCAGGCTTTCCTCCCTGATTCGAGATCGAGCCAGGAGGTCTCCCGCCTCCTTGCAGTGGGTTTGCCTGATCTTCTGCAGGGACACCACGATCTCCAGGATTCCCACGCAGAGGAAGACCACGCTTTCCAGCAGGCGCTGGTGCCAGGGGAGGAAGGCCGCGCATTCCGGACCACCGTTGCCTTCGAAGCTTGGGTCCACTCCTCCATACATCCAGTCCAGAAGGTTGGCGAAGCTGTAGCGATCCATGGCCAACCCCTGTCCTTCTCCGTCCTGCAGCGAGTGGAGGCCCGGGGAGATCAACGCGACTCTGCTGTCTGGATGGCGGAACATGAAATGCGGGGAGAGCTAATTCTTGGGTCACCCTCTCCCAGTTCAGCGAGGCAAACGGCACTGCTGAGCAGAATTCTCATTTCAGAGGCTCTCAGGTGGGCATCCGAGGAAACCTGGAAGGAGAAAGAACACCACTGGCTATTGCATCAGAAAAAGCACGCTAAAGAACGGCAGGAAAATGCCCGGAGCTCTCAGCTAGCTTTCCACGGAAGGCTCCACCTGCTCAACTTCCTATCCGAACCTCCAAGCAGCAAATGCTTTGGAACCGGACCGCACGTCCCTGCCACACGACTGTGTGCGGGGCTGCCTTCCCCTACCGGACCCATGTGCCCCTCCGGATCGGTTGGACTGAAACTCCCGTGAACTCCCCCACCCAGCTGTGCTGAGAACCGCTGTCCGCCACATCTGCAAGGGAGCTTGGGGAAGTTCAGGGCTGTAAACAACAAGTGCCCAGGAATGCCCGTGCGTGCCAGGCATAAATCGAAATGCAAACTAATGGGAGGGAGTCCGGAGGGGCAGGTGCAATCCGCTATCCGGCTCCCCTCCCGCCATCCCGCTCTCGCGTACTGATCGCCGAACGGATTTCCCCTGCTCGCCGCTCGGCAGCGACACTGCACGAGGCTCTCTGAGCAACGCACACGGCAGACCCGGAAAAGGCGTCCAGCTTTTCCAGCGGCGCGGCGCGGCGAAGGCGACGCGCCAGCGGCTCCGTCTGCCCCGCTCCACGAGGCCCCGCACGCCGGCGGGCTCCAGGCGGGTGTTCCCGAGCAGACCCGCGTCCGGCTGCCTTCCTCCACAACAGCCTTGTAAAGCTGGCCCGCCCCGATCGCCTCGCCGAAGCGCCCGCCCCGCGCGGGCGGCGGAGGAGGCCCGGGGGCGGAGAGGCGAGCAGGCAGGCGAGCGCTTTGGGGCGCCGTCTTAGGCGCGCTTCAGCCGCCCCCCAAGTCCTACAACTCCCAGCATTCCCCAGCCCGCCGGGGAATGCTGGGAGTTGTAGGACTTTTCCGGGGGGCTCTGTGCACGCGCCTAGGACGGCGCCCCTTCCTCAGCGCCTGCTGCGCCCCCGGCCGGCCCTGGCGCGCCGCGCCAGCCTCCTTCTGGCCGCGGAGCTCCCGAGGGCGGAGATGGGCGGGCGGGCGGACAGACGCCCCCCCCCCC